CCCCGCACCTGGGGGGGGCGGGGAGCCGGCCGGCGCGAGCAGAGCCTGCGGCAGCAGGTCAGGAAGAAGCGCCCAGCCTCCTCCGCAGCGCAAAGCCCTTCCCCTGCCTGTTTACTCGGGCTTGGAGCAGCGTAGGAGGAGGGGATAAATCTCTGCTGCTCCGTGCCAAGGTGCAGGGAGGATGAGCGCGCGCTGAATTCCTGGCAAACCGCTCTCGCTAGAGGACGGGAAGGCTCGCTGCGGTAGCAGCAGCGGGACGGCCGCTCAGCAACAGCGTGGACGCGCGCGCTGTTACGTACCACCTCGGCGCAAAGCTGAGGGGCGCGCACGCACACAGGACAGAGCTGCTGAGTCTCTGCTCTGATGAGGAAGGGAATTGCTGCTGTCCTCTAAGCACCCAAAAAAGGTCCAGTATAGAGTTGCGTTGTCACAAACTAGAGATGGTTGATGCGAGGCTAGGGGAGGTAACTGTGCCGTGCTAGCAGCTTCTAAAGCGTTAACAGTCACAGGGACTCTATTTCCCTTTTGTTCAAACCACCCCCCTCCTTAGCTAGGTCTGGTTAACATATGATATGCCTTACAGCTAATGTTGGTCAGTAATTTATTTGAAATATGTCTACATTAGAAAAACTAGATATTTTTTCTTCAAATCACTCTAAAATATCAAAACTTATAAACTTTCCTTTGCTGCATGGAGGTTGTTCATGTGCAGGGTGTAAAATGCCCACGGCTCGGGGATATAGATCACGCCAGGGTACTTCTTCCTGAGAATTTTGTCATTCCACAGCCAAATCACCCAAACAGCAATTAGGACTAATGTTATGATGAAGGAGTAGAACAGAAAAAGCCCATTGCTGTCCAGGACAAGTCCTTTGCGTTTCTGGTGCATCACTAAAGCCATCATGGCAAAGAAAGTGAAAATGTAGAGGATGAAAATCTGACCCTCTGTCACGAGATACCTACAAAGCAAAAAATACCCATTAGTGCCCTCTGGGAGGAAGCACAGAGCAACAGCAGCACCCAGCTCTTCTAGTGTTACTTGGGTAAAATGTCTCACCCTGAAGTCTCCCCAGGAACCTCCCGCGGGAGATGCGACCTTGACAGCAGGAACTGGCCCTGATGCTAATACCCAAAGCCCCCGTCTTCTGCTCAGACAGCTGTGTTGTGCCTGAAGAAGTGTTTTGCTCTCTAGCAAGCTTTCCTGGGGCAGATTTGCAAGCCAAGCGCTTGGGCACCCGTGATGAAGCTTATCTGACCGCCTTCTGCTGCGAGAGGCAAGTATGTACGAGAGCTGTGTGAACAGCCAGCGTCACGCTCAGCACCGTCTCCCTGCTCTGCGTCTAGGTAAGCAAAGCTGTGCTGCTGCTCTCTACTGCCATCTTTTAAACTCATTGGTTTTTAAGTTTCTTATCAGTAATTCATCAACAGGTTTCATTAACAGAGCAGGTAAAGAAACGTGTGTACCCGATATGGGTTGTTAAAGGTGATGGTCCCACTGTGTGAACCAGAAGCTTAAAGGCAAACCTGAGGCGAGGCTCCGTGTCTAACCCTGCAGGCGAGGGAGAGGGGCTCCGGTGGGAACCCGTGGCAGGCAGGGCTAACCCGCGGCCCCGGCCCCAGCCCCGCTTTGTTACAGGGCAGTGTTGCCCTTGCACGCTGCTCTTCATGGCTCTGTCCAGATTGTTTCCAGTGATGGTAAAAATAGTCATCGGCTCCTCGTTTTACACAGGGAAACTGAGGAACAGCAGGAAAGGTATTTTTCTAAGGGCCACAGTAAAGGTCACTGGTCAAATCAACCAGGGAGCCAAGGACTGTCTTAAACAAGGACAGCAGATGTACAGAGTGCTTGTACTCTCAACACCTTCTCTGTGTGGAGCCCCAGCACAGCACGGGAGGGTTTAATCCTAAACTCAGGGTTGAAGTAATAAATACCATGTCCTCCCTGTTTGGGATCTGACTGGGATACACAGATGTGTGGTCATTTAGTCCAAAATCCGTATCTCCCCCCTGTGCTGTATGTGGCAGTGGCCAGTCTTGGTTGCTTAAGGAAAAGGGTGTTAGTGAGACAGCAAAGCAAGTTACCCTTCTGCGACACACCTTCCTGACTGCTAATCAGCTGCTTAGAGACTTCCTGATCTGCAGGCTGCATCTGGGCCGTCCTGTCTGACTGCCACACGGGGAACTTGTCTTCCTTGTGTCTCTCTGGCTGTTCTGAGGCCATTCGCTGCCCGAGCCTCCCTGTTTCCTCTGGCAGCGAGTCCCACAGCTGTAATTACACGCTACATCAAGAAGCACTACTCTTTCATGTTCCTTCAAACCTGCTGCATGACGAGGCACTGGGTGCTCTCTAGTTCTTATCTACAAGAAACGGTGAATAATCATTACCAGGTCTTTCTTTGTTTTTCTGCATTGCACAGACCTCTGAGCATGAATCAGTACGGTGCTCTCAGTCTGGCAGAGTCCAAAGAGGCAGCAAGCTCATCAGGACCACTGGAAAGCAGACACTTGGGATGATAGCTCTTGAGAGAGCCCATCTGCAGGGGGTGGTGGAGTTAGCAAATGGGTGTCTCCTTAAATAGACCTGCACTGAGAAACTGCCAGGCTGACAGGAGGAAGTGAAGGAATTACACTTACTTGTTCTTAAATTGCTAGCACACAAACTGCAGTTTCACGCTGATGTATTTAAAGGAAGTGCAATGGGGTAACTGGGAACTGACCAAATCATCCTGATGACTTTGACTATCAAAAATTAATTTACTGTATAAAAACAGTCTCAGCAGGGGGTACAGCCATGGGCAAAAGAGAACAGCATCTCTGAAGATGAATGACAAGTTGTTTGGCTGCCATCAGGGAAACCATTTGAGAAGATGAGGCTAATGAAAATGGGAAATAAATAAGACCTCTCTCAAAAGGCTATTTGGACCCGCAGGGTGGGCTGCAGAGGCAGCGTAAGAGCATCACACAAATGGTCTGCGCTCTGTCTAAAACCTCCAGACGACTGATGAGACAAATCTCCATTACCACGAACAACCTGAGATCAGGTGGATGAGCTGCAGGCACTAGGTGACTGCCCCAAAATCTTTAAGGAACACAGTCTCCTTTGACAGCGACTAGCAGGCTTTAAAGACGGGAAGACAGCAAGTACAATGGAGGCTGAAAGCCTGAGCTCCAGAGATAAGAATATCTCAGGAATCCTGATATAGGATAGAGGAGGAAAAATACTGACTTGACTGTTAATCAGGTGGGTTTGGAGCAACTGGTGCAGGGTGGAATCAGTGCCAGAAGAGACTATTTCCCACAACAAAGGGAGCGGACTTGTCTCCAGAATACACCAGCGTCAGGACCAGAAGGTAACCGGTTATTTATGTAGGATGGAAAGGTGCCCCATAGTGCACAAAGAAGCAGTTCTCCACTGCAAACAGATGACCTTTCCTCCGCTCAGTAGCGCTGCTTTCTGGATGAAAAACATACTTGTGACTCAAGGCCTTTGCCAGCACAGAGCTGAAGTCTTTCTTGCCTCTCTAAAAAAGAGGGTGCTGCCCTTGCAGAACCGGTTGGGCTGAACCTACCTGCTCCCACCCTGTTAGTCAGTGGGGGACGACACGGATGAAGAAACGCACCCCGCAGTGACAGAGTGCGCTGTGCTGACAGGTGAAGCTGAAGTTGGCCCAGCTGACCTCAGGCCCGGACAACTTGCACAGGCTAAACAGGCCGCAAATTCCAACAGACCTGATTTGATTTCTGAGACCTGCACAGCACAAGCTACAGAAAATTCCACTGTGGAGAATGGAGAGCTCCTGCCTGCATGCCTTGAGCACATGCTGCCATCCCTCCCCTGTCCAGAAAGGACAAAAAGCACTTACCAGTAATAAAGGCTGCTTGGCCCCATTAGAAGCAATGCAGCCAGTGGCATCCTGCTCTCTTCTTCAACAGGAGTAAAGCAGCCAGTGAAATATATAAACAGTATCAGAAAGAAAGGGATGTACCTGTGAACAGAAGCAGACCTCCCATCAGAGGTGTGACGCTGGAAAACAGCATCTCTATGTACTAAGCTCTGGAGCCTACACTTTGCCCTCACTGCTGTATCACGGCCTGGCTGGTTTTCCACATGCATTCATCCGTTATGTCTCTATTATGGTCTCGGACGCAACGAAGGAACGGAGATCCTTGTGGTAACCGACTCTGCTTGCATTACGCCAGCATAGACTAGCCCTCAGCTTCCAAATGTGTTCGCTCTGCTAATCTTTCACCAGCAGGCAAGTGTTTAAACCCTGCCCCCAAATCTAAACGCTGCATGTAGACAATTCCTGTGTAGGAATTGCCAAAGAGCAGAACCAGAGGCCAGCCAAGCCTGCTCCAATCTTATGTGCTCGAGTTGGTGAAGCAATGTGTAACTGGACCGCCTGCAAAAACCATAAGGTCTAATGCCATAGTGTCATGCTATGACCACAGTGACTGTAAAGCTATAGCTTCTCTGCAAGTGTCACAGCTGTTGCTATGAGATTACCATCATGTCAATAAGAAAGCCCGGCAGTGCCTAGTGTGGGGCTATTGTATGTCCTGGCTCTGCAGAGTGCTTCTGAAGATTATTAGACTTCTGGGGCTCTCACAGGAAAGGCCAGAGTTTGCTGATTAGATCAAATGCTGGGTTCAAGTGCTTGGTCGAACAATTGCATTTGTTACACTCCCAGCCTCAAAAAGCTGCTTAAAAGTGCATCGTGTTGTGGTAAAAGCTAAACCACAGGAAAGCAGGACGTGGACCAGGATTTAAACAAACTAACAGAGCCCCTTTTTAAAGGAATGGAATTTGCTTGCTTTGCAGTTCCTGAGGAGCAGAAGAGAAATCTGAAGTAGCCTGATGAGAGAAAGGCTTCCCTCTGCACTGTCAGAGAGACCTAAGGTTATCTGGCAGCAATAAAGGGATAGACAGTTCTCTCTGGGGTCTTCAGGACACGCAGAGCCGTGAGACCAGTCCACGCAGGATATGGGACATGTCTGCACTGATGGCTGCTGCTCTGCCACCGTCACTGCCTGGCTGCAAGAGCCACACCAGCCAGGAGGGTGCAGTCCTGGACCCGAGGCAGCCTGCCGAGGCACAAGCAGGTGATCAGCACATCTGCAATACTGCAGGAACCTGGCCTTGTTGGTTCAGATGCAGCCCTCCAATAAAACACTCTCCATAGCAGCTTGTGCCCACGTGGATTTAATGTGGAAATAGGATTGTCAAGGCCTGCATCGGCAGGGCTGGAAGCAACCAGCACCATTCTGCAGAAGTCGCATATTCAAAAAGCCAAAGGTGCTCTAGCAAAAGCGTGCTGAGGTCCTGGGAGGAGAGGAACCTGCCTGAACTGAGACTGAGTGATTTAGACACATGGGGCTAAAATCACAGATCGGTGCAGAGGGTGGACACTTGTTCCCCTAGAGTGAATCTGTGCTCTGGAGCCAAGGGGGCAGTTCTGTTCTGAAGTGTGATCCTGCTGTCATGCTGAATCCAGCAATGGTACAGCCACGCATGACTAGGGGTATGTGGCTGTTGGGTCAGCAAGTTGATTCAGCATCACGTGCGGTCGCACAAGGGCTAGGTATACTCTGAGTAGGATGCAGCTGGAACTGCAGTCACGCTGGATTAAGCCTACTGTCAAACTGGACCAAGTACTGCCAGGATCAGCTGTTGACAACAATGCTGCCGTGGTGGTGAAATTAGAACTTGGACCTAACTGAGCTCCCTGAATCAGCAAGGCTGGGAGTGCTTGGGCCATGTACTCTCTCTGTCACTTAGTGGCATTGGTCTAGCTACATGAGCAACCCTCCGCTCTAGCTGGAGGGTTGATAAATGAATGCACGATAAAGGAGGGAAATGAGCAAATGTCTAGAGCATCCTGGAGAAACCAGGCAAAATCGAGCTGTTTTAAAGTCAACCTCTAGAGGAGCAAAAACATGGGTGGTCACAGTCAATGAGTTTGCCGAATCCTTAAACTTGCACTATAAACTGTCTCTTTATCTGGGTATCCCATAAAAGAGGCAACTAAGAGAGAACAGAGGAGCTGTTCCTCTGTTCACTGCAACTGTCAAACTGCATGTCCTAGAAATATCAGCGAGAATGGCAGATATGGTAGACACTAGTAGGAACAGGCAATTTTCAAAGCGAGAAATCCACGGTAATCACACTAGCTGTAAGAATGTTACCTCAACTATATCTCATCAGCTGTGTTGTTTTTCTTTACATATTAAGCTACGAACAGATCAGATCTGCCTTTCCTTGTGTTATGTCCTGAGGCCACTAGATAAACTGTAAAATGCTTACCACATTGAATGACCTAAATATTCATCGTAGTAGTACAGCAGCTCAAAGGAATCAATCTGAAACACAATGAAACATTTAAAATGGTAGAGGAACAGGACATTATTAAATAAGAACAAGCAATTAATATTTTTAAGTAAGCGTTTGCATCAAACACAGCCTCTTTACCAGTGTCTCTGGCTTCAAGTTTTTGATGATTGGATTCTCTCGTACAGACAGATGGTGCTGGTAGCCGCTGAAAATCAAGCGATGGTTTACAGAGTCTCCAACCAAGTGGATGCTTGCTCCCATGACAAACACGATGATGCTGACGTACACCATTGATCTTGGTAAGGTCTTAGGGGATCTTTCAATGAGCTAAAAATATAGAGACATACTGAACAGTGAGGAGGTTTGAGGAGGGAAGCACGGCGCTGTAACCAATTCTGCCCTCTCTAACTCAATCGTGGCTAGCAAAAATCATCTAAAACCAAGCAAAAGCCTGTAAAAAATACTGTAGGTTACGTTGCCATAGCAGAACTGAGCTGCTGTCCACAGCTGTTAGCACCCTGACTGGGAAATAAACATAGCCCATCATGGACAAATCAGTGTGACCGGACCAGAAGAGAACGTGTTTCTCTTATTGCAGTTTTGACCCCCAACACACATCTCCAACACATTTCCATTAGCCTATGTGGCTTTCAGTTTTGTGTACGCCTTCTATCCCTTTTTGCAACAAGGAAAACTGACTTTGTGGCCTTGTTAAACCTTTCTGCAAAGCAGCACCCCTTACTAGAGCCAATGCTTAGACTGAGTCAGTCATCCAGTATTTCTAATACAGTACTCAAGGCAATTTATTCACCAGATATGCTCCAAAACATGATTAATTAGGAACAATAAGGCAGCTGCTTTCTGTAGTTCCTTTGCTAAATCTATTGGAAAGCCTCTCTGTGCCCTCCAGTGGTGAGAAGAACCTCTAGCATCACTCCAACTGAGAGCACAGTGCACTTAACTCCTTTGGTTAAGAGACATTTGTTCATTTATAATTCTCTGCTGGATGTTTTTCAAAAGTCTCTTTTTTGATTGCTTGGGTGTTTCTTCTTCCCCTCCCTAAACCCCTCCCTAACGGAATTTGACTCATTGTTCTCTGTGCATTTGCTTCTAAAGAGGAAGCTTCATTTAAACCAAACTAATATATAGGAAAAAATATATTAACCAATAAAACAGGTTGGTGACTGAGGCAACCCTTTGAGTACCAGCAGTCAAATTTAATGATGGAGTGCTCCCTGTACCCTTTTGTGGTCTGCTTAGGTCTGGGTGGAGACACGTACGTGTGGCTGAGGGGGAGCCCCAGTATGACCCAGAGTCTGGGGCAAGCTCATGCAGGCCAGACTGGGGAAGAGAAGTAAGATCTATCTGGAAGGGAGCTCTCCACTAAAGTTGCAAAGTAAGAAGATATCAAAATGCATAAATCTCAGCTAACGTACTTTGTGATTTGGGACCCAGGAGATGGAAACCTGAAACATTCTCTATGCCTCAGAGAATGAACTGCAGAGACCTATCAAGAGAAAACAGCAATGTGACTACTTTTGCGGTCATTTCATAGAAGAGACGCATGCCTGGCTTGCTTGTTTGAAGTCGGCCCTGCTTTCCCAAAATCTCACTGCCTCTGTAAGGAAGGTGCATTAAGAGTAAATTCTAAGTCGGCCTCAAACGCTCGGGGTCAGCGTGAATGCGTCAGCCTTGCCCTGCTGGAGGATCAGCAGTGGCGACCTTTGCCCTTCTATCTCTGTGCTGCCAAATCAGCTTTGCAACCCTTCATAGATGGTCTCTATATGCACTGAAAAGCTCCTTATTTGTATTTAATTTTGAGGCTTAACTTTCTCTTTCTCTATAACTGCTGTATGTATGAATGTCAAAGGACTCGCAGATAGGTGAGGAGAATAAAAGGCTCAGGTAAACTCTCATCCGACAAGAGAAAAGGTTGGACATTCCTTCGAGAGGGGATTGGATAAGAGAAATGTATCCTGAGTGACAAATGGCTTTTTTGTGCGTGCTAGTCCTTCATGCTCTGCTGCCAAGGAAGTCAAAGACAGCAAATTTTCACCCGATGAGTACCTAACCTGTAGAAATCAGTTGTGTCAGACTGAGACAGATTAGACTGAGAGTTTCATATACTTCAAACCGTCCAAAGGACTGGATATTGAATATTCTCTTTTTGGCCACAATGGCATTTAAAAACTCCCAGACTCCCAGAGAGAGAACCACTTATGACTCGGGACAAAATTCAATTTCTAGCTAATGAAGGTTAAAATATATTTATAATTGCTTTCTCATATTTTCCGGCTGCTAACTATTTAATATAAGAAGATTTCTAATGATATAACAGTCTTTAACCTCGTAAATGTTTTATATGATCCAGCGGCTGGCAGCTGAAGCTAGATAAATTCAAGCTGAAGATGTAATTCTAATGTCGAAGAGCAAGTGTAATTAAGCACTGAACAATTTAGAAAATCTTCTATAGTTCCAGCTTTGTTAAGGTCTTTAAATCATGGATGGATGTTGTCTTAAAAATATGCTTTAGCTCAGCCAGGGTGAAGGACTCAAAATTCTACTGAAGCTGGCGTTACTGTGGGAAATAATCTGCTTTGTATATGCAGGAAACATGATTAATAAGCAAAATGATTTCCTCTGGGCTTAAATTTCTGCCGCCTTCTCCTGGAACTTGTGCTGCTGCCAAAGGCTGGAGGCTGACTCAAAAGGGTCACATACAGAATCCAGTCTAACCATGTCTGCTTCAATTCATAAAAAACAAGTCAGAGGAACTAGTCTGGACTCCCACTAGTTCATGATAAACAAACTGCATAAAAATGAGAGAGACCAAATGATCTTTCTGTGGCCAGGACTGGCTGCTGTAAAACCTGCTGAAAACACTTATGTCAGCAGGGTGTGGAGATGGTCACGGCCTTGCTCTTTAAGAGACAGTACCTTGAATTCTTTCTGGAGTAGAAAAATTCTAACTACAGTAGGACTGGCTCATTTGCAGGAATTTGTGAGTAACTAACACTTGTTCAACAAGCTTCTGATAAATTCTTGTCCTTTAGAAAACTGTATTAGGAGCCCTGCTTTTACAGGTAATATTTCAAAAATGAAACACCTCTGCTTTGAGGTTTACCTTTAGCAGAAGAAATGGTGTGATAACATTGTAAGCCATGTGGAAATAATCTCCAGCACTTGGTTTGTTCAGTGGAAACCACTCCAAAGGTAGAATAATCTGAAGAGAGAGGAAAGAAGCACATCAGTACATGCTCACGACCCAGCGGACAATTACCGTGTTTTGTTTTCAAAGCATCTGCAGCCCCCAGCAACTGGCTGAAAGACAGTGGGAGAAAGTCTTTGTTTTGGACTGCTGCTGCTTCCTACTTGTTACGGTTTGAGTTAACAGCCAACTAACTGGCTGACTTGACTTCACATGTTAATAACAAAATGGAGTAACTTTTCTTGCAGTAAACACAGCTAAAACATATTTTGGAAATATGCACTAAATGAACAGTATATTTACATCTCAGCCACTCACTCTTGCAGTGCCACCAAAAGCCGATGGTGTGAAGCTGTGTGGCTAGGTGAAAAGGGCATTCAGGAATCCTACAGTAACACATTCCCTGTTTAACACTTTGTCATGGTCAGATGCTGGTAACAAAAACAAACAAACAAAAAACCACACATACTTTGAAGGCAAAGACCACTTCTGTCCTGCCATGCGTTATCTGGAGAGCTGGATTCTCAAGAGTTCCTAAACTGCGGACCTACCGGCAGGGTAGGGTGAAGAACAGCATAAACCTCTCTAGTTAGCTTTTATGTTAGGAAAACATAAAGTTGCAGGATAAGTGACTTGGAACCAAGTTTCCCAGATACCTTCCTTTCTACTTGCGCAACACACTTGGTAACAGTTATTCACACCAATATACCCCAGAGGTCCTGATTTCAGAGACACGTTCCTCCAGGATGTCACTTTGGTGAAGGTACGCAGCGTGTAGAAACAGTCTACCAGCCTACGTGGGAAGTTCTGGGTTGAACTGTCACAACTCTGCTATCCTATATCCTAAACAAGCGAAGTGCACACACCCAGCGGGCCTGCCTCTGTCACACTCACCATCGCAATAGGACGCCCGAAGTCCAGCACCCAGTTCTGCAGAGTAAAGTAGAACCACAGATCAAAATGAAATTGAGGAGTCTTAAAGGTATCTTCACTCTTGACTGCTCCGTGCCTAATAACGACAGAAGTCAAAGCGTCAGTCTGCTGTGGTCCAGCACAGTCAATGACTCCAGTTTTGTACTCTTGAATGTGTGTGGGTTTTTTTTTTCCCCCTTCCTCAATCATCCCTCAAGATTTGTGTAAGACTAGGGCAGAGAGCATGTTTCAAGTGATCTGGAAAAGGACTATCTCGCTATATGCGGTGGTCACAGACCGTGTCTCAAGCAGCAGAAACTCACACAGCAAATAAAGCAGGGAGAAATGGGCCAAATATCTGATGTCATACACCAGGTTTCTGAAGAGGCAGGGGACAGAAGCCAAGTCTGCGTCCCTGCCCATAGCCTGTGCTGTCCTGGCTGACGGTGTATTTCCTGGGTTTGAGATCTGCGGAGGAACAACAAAGTTGAAACTCCTGACAGAGGAGGAGGCAGTACAGAAAGGCCAAGCATCATTAACAAAAACTGGTGCACGCCTGTAAGAAGGCTGTCAGTGGCGGCGAAGTGAGCACAACAGCAGGAGGAAAAGCTTTAAGCCTTGAATTAAGTGCCACTATTTTTAATTTTTGCATGACAAAGCAAAATTAAACTCCCCGAGCACTTCTGGTGAATGCTAAAATGCATTGATGCCTGGTGGTACTCAAGCACAGGGATACCCTGGATGTGCTTTCACCTTGAGCTCTGAAGATTATTCTCCTCTACTTCTGCAGAACAACTCTGCTGAAGCCTTTCCACCATATAACACCCCAGCACTGTCAAACCTTCACCTCCCTACAGGAAAAGCAGCCGTTTTATCTTGGCTGTGCCACAAAATGCTCTTCTGTGGGGCTGCGACCAGAGGGGCATGGCTGCGCCGCGCTACCTGAGCGCGAGGTCTGCACCTGCGCGAGGGCAGAGGAAGAGCGAGGGGGCCCTGGACGAGCCGGTGAACCTGGGGCACCCCGGACAAGCTGGAGGTACCCTGGGCGAGCGGCGGTTCCTCGGATGACCTAGGATATCCCGGACGAGCTGGGCACCCTGGACGAACCTGGCAACTGCGGGTGAGCTGGGGCATCCTGGATGAGGCGGGGTAGCCTGGAAGAGCTGTAGTTCCTTGGAGAGGGCTGGGGGCACCCTGGACGAGCTGGGTTTCTGCAGGAAATCTGCGGTAACAGGGATAAACTGGGGGTGCTGTGGATGAGTTGGGGGATCTGGACGAGGGTGGGGCACCCTTGTGAGCCGGGATATCCTGGACAAGGCTGTGGCAACCGGGACGAGCCGGGCAGCCCTGGAAGAGCCCGGGGAGGGGGGAGGAAGCAGGATGAGCTGGGGGGCCAGGACAGGCCGGAGGGCTCGGGGGCCCCGGGTGAGGCGGGGGCGCCTCTTCCTCCACCAGGCCCG